GTGCCTGAGTCTTAGGGGCAGGTCGAAACAATGAGGGCCTGAAAATGGCCCTCCGTTTCAGGCTGAAAACTCTGGGTCTGAAAAGACCCAGAAATAGGCTGAAACGGGGTAGGGCCTGCAGGCCCTCGTTTTTCAGCTTCCAGGCTGAAACGAACGGGGCCTGTAAGCCCTAAGTTTTAGGCTTTTAGGCTGAATGTCCGGGATGGGCCCTGCAGGGCCCGTGTGGCTACGCAGTATGCCACACTATAGCTGCCGTAGCAGCAGTAACCCCACAGCTGTCACAACGTGCCAATCTGAACCATCAACCCCAATGATAGCAGCGCCAGCTCAGCACCCGCACGGAAGTGCAGCGCCGGAAGTCCTGATGACGAACGAGACAACCGATCCAGCACTTTGAAGAAGATGAAGTTCCTCATGAGGAGGAACAGCAGATATGGCTGCCAAGTGGAAATGGCAGCACCCAAACCCAACAACACAGTCCTGTGGAAGCTCTCATGCAGAGCTGCGAAATAGCAGCAGTGCAGTCTTCAATCTCATTTCCCAACCCCAGCTATGGCTGGGCTTCGAGAACGAAGATGACCTCGCCCAAAATAGCGCAGCAGCGCTCCAGCAACGGACGGACAGAGTTTCCCCAGTCAGAACGAGATGCAAAAGACCCCTGAACTAATTTCCTGCCCGCTACTTCTACCCTCTGCCTAGACCTACGGCGGACTCTAAAGGCAACAACCCAAGACTCAGCTGTATCTAGATGGAAACAAGGGGAAAAGTGGACCTAGACCTATGACAAGGCAAAAGGAAAAGGCCGAATGGCCTAAGACTACCAAACAGAGACTTCTAGTGGCCGACTCAGGGATCGAGTCCCATAGGGATCAAGGCCCACAAAGCTCAAAACAAAGAAACAACACAAATAGGGCAAAATGATAAACACAGAAAACCAAGATTGCGGGATCAAGTCCCAACAGCAACAAAATGGGAAAAAATTGTATACAGCCCGCTTGCAGCACTGCAATTCATTGCAGAAGGGTGATCGACATCCACACACAAGAAACGATGCAAACAACAGC